TACAAAATCCATGATGTAAACAATTTCATATTAATTTTATCTTAGGCTGCTAACAAGGCTGGAATTAAGTATTCTTCTGCTAAAACTATACTCTTTGCTCATCGCAAATCATATAAATAACAATTAATTAGAGATAAAAAAGCTGCAGTATTTATTTATTCAAATATTAGAATTCAATACAAACTAAATGTTGTGGATACAAACTTAAATTATCTGATTAACCTGATAATGTTTAACTTAAAACCAGAGTTGGAATGTGATTCTATTTCTTTCACAATCCCTAAATTGTATTTATTAATCAATTAAATTGTTAATTTATAATTAATCAACTTTATACATTAATTTATTAAATATACAAGATAATCATTCTACACATTTAATTCTACATAAATCAATCTCTTAAATCTAACCATTCATATTAAAAATATATCACAATCAAAACAGAAAAACAAAACTTAAAAACCAAATCATGTAATATATCACGCACCATTACTTATAGTTTATACTCTACATTATTATTTATATTAGAGTAATTAATTCGAACTCTTACAATAAAAGTAAAGGATGAGAGAGAATAGAACTTAATTTTAATAAACTTAATACATTGATTTCAATTCAAATTAAGAGATGCAGATATTCTCATATTTCAATTAAAAACTCAAAGATACAAATAATAAATTCATTCGAAAATAATAATCAATTTTGAAACAACAATTAACCATACCATAACTAATTAATGTAAATAAAATTTCCAAAAAATTTATTAATAAAAAAAAAAAAGAAATTGAAAGACTAATCTAAGAAAATTGAAAAAAAAATAAAAAAATGCAAAATGACATTCTATTATATTGTAGAAAGGTTGAGTTAAAAATATTATGCTTATTCAATTTAAACCATATATTAAACTTAAAATTTTAACTATTATACTTTAGGGGAAATAGATTGTAATTTAAATGGTGAAATGAAATTATAATAAAATAAGAAATAAAAATGGTAGAAATGATAATTAATGTTTGATAGAGAGTAAAATAGATGAAGAGAAAATAAAATGAGAATTAATAATAAAAATTAGTTTGTAGTTAAAAGTAATAATATAAATTTTATAAAAATTTAATAAAATTTAATATATGTCTGAATAACACTTATAGGAGAGTAAATTTACATATGTAAAGTGAAATAAAATTTTAGAGTTCAAATTTAGTAGTTTAGAGAGAACATGGTGTTAGAACAGAAGAGCCTTCTGGTGAGCCTGAATCTTTGGTTGGTAAAATAAATCCTAGATTAATGGGTACAAAAGCAATTAGAGAGAAACCATAAAGGAATAAAAAAGAATAAGGAATAAGATTAGATAGATAGGGTGAGATTGAAATTGAAGATGGGATAGGGATGCCAAGATATGATAATTTATTATATATTCCAAAAACAAAAGAGAATAGATTGCATTATGAAAAATTATTAGGAATCGTTTATGGATTATTTTAAGAGTAATCTTAAGATGTAATAAAGTCAATAGTAGATGAAGTATTAGCAATAATGAAAAATGAAAATATGAAGGATTCAGAGAGAAGATATGAAGTAGAAGCATTAATGGGGAGATTATCAAATGAATTATTTTCTGATATAGTATTATCAACAAAGGGAATAAGTGATTATTAACCAGAGATTATTTATAAAAATAATTAAGAATTAGATTTGCCATTAAATTTAGAAGAGGAAGAGGAATCAAATGATGTAGATTAAATTGAAGAAGATGATAGTGATTTATAGAAATAAAATGATTATTAATAAGATAATAATTAAATAATTAGAACAAAGAATTAAGAAGAGTAGAATAGAAATATTAAATAATTAGATATAGATGGATTTTGGTTGTAGAGAGAATTATAAAAAATATATAAAGATGCTATATAAGCATAATAGATGGAATAACTAGTATTAGATATATTGAAGTTAGAATTAGATATTGAATGTGAAAATTAATTGGTTTAAGTGTTTGGTTAAGAGAGATTTGATTTAATTAGATTATTACATTAAAATAGATGTAAAATATATTATTGTACATTATTAAGTAAAGTTTAGAGTAATGAATAAAGATAATAAATATATTAATAAATGGAATCAACATAAAAAGGATTGGAGTTATTGATGGAATTATAATAATAAACTAAATATAATAAGAATACAACTAAATTATAAATAACATAAGAAGATATGGAATAATAGGATAATACTTGTGTAGTTAATACTGATTTATAGGGCTTAACTAAATAAGTGATAGATTTAGAACATTTATAATTTAATACTTAAGGACATTTGATGTCAAATGATAAATGTCATTTACCACCTCGTTCTTTAAAAGTTACTAAAAAAGGATATGAAGAAATATATATACCAGCTCCAAAATGTAATATACGTAATTAGGATTTGATTTAAATAAATGAGTTACCTGAATTTGCATAATAAGCATTTAGAGGATTTAAAGAATTGAATACTATATAAAGTATAGTATATGAAACTGCTTTATTAAGTGATGAAAATATGTTAATATGTGCTCCAACAGGTGCAGGTAAGACTAATGTAGCTTTATTAACTATGTTATAAACAATTGGATAATATTATGATAATGGTATTCTTGATATTTCAAAGTTTAAGATAATATATATTGCACCAATGAAAGCATTAGTAAATGAAATGGTACACAATTTCTAAAATAGATTAGAACCATATAATATTAGAGTAGCAGAGGTTACTGGTGATACTCATTTAACTAAACATTAATTAAATACAATTTAATTATTAATTGCTACTCCTGAGAAATGGGATATATTAACACGTAAAACATAATAGAATGATTTTATTCAATTAGTAAGATTGATTATTATTGATGAAATACATTTATTACATGATAGTAGAGGTCCTGTAATAGAATCTATAGTTGCTAGAACACTTAAATAAATGGAAGATAGATAAGATTATATTAGAATTATAGGATTATCAGCTACACTACCTAATTATGCAGATGTAGCAACATTTATAAGAGTTAAATAAACTGGTGTATTCTTTTTTGATAATTCATATAGACCAGTACCATTATAATAATAATATATTGGTATTAATGAAATGAAGCCTATAAGAAGAATGTTATTAATGAATGAAATACTATATGAAAAAGTTATTGAAAGAATTACTAAATCATAAATCTTAATATTTGTTCATTCTAGAAAAGAGACTGTTAAGACTGCTAAGATTCTTAAAGAAATAGCTTATTCTAAAGATGAATTATCTAAATTTATTAAAGATGATAGTTCATCTAAAAAGATATTAGAAACTGTGATAGCATAAGAAGATATTAAATCCATTGATCTTAAAGACTTACTTGCAAGTGGAATAGGAATACATCATGCAGGTTTATGTAGAGCAGATAGAGATTTAGTTGAAAGTCTATTTGAAAAAAAGAATTTATAAATTTTAATATCAACATCAACATTAGCTTGGGGTGTTAATTTACCTGCACATACTGTTATTATTAAAGGAACATAAATATATTCACCAGAATAAGGAAAATGGATGGAATTAAGTCCTTAAGATATTCTTTAAATGATGGGAAGAGCAGGTCGTCCTAGATATGATACATCTGGAGAAGGAATTATATTAACAACATATTAAGAGTTAAAATATTATTTATCTCTTTTAAATATGTAATTACCTATTGAATCTTAATTTATAACTTAACTTGCTGATTAACTTAATGCTGAAATTGCATAAACTAATATTAAAAATCTTAAAGATGGAGTTAATTGGTTAGCTTATACATATCTTTATGTAAGAATGCTGAGAAATCCTACATTATATAATATTCCTGATTCTAATCATGATTAATTTCTAATTAAATATCGTGCTGATCTATTGCATTCTGCCTCTTTATTATTAGATAAGAATAATCTAATTAGTTATGATAAAAAAACAGGAAATTTGGAAACTACTATTCTTGGTAAAATTGCTAGTAATTATTATATTAAATATCCAAGTATGTAAGTATATAATTAACATCTTAAATCTAATATGGGAATGATTGATATATTTAAAGTATTCTCTTTATCCCATGAATTTAAATTAATACCTATAAGAGAAGAAGAAAAAATTGAATTATCTAAATTAATGATGAGTGTACCAGTTCCTATTAAAGGATCTCCTGAAGATCCATCTACTAAAATCAATGTTTTACTTTAAGCATATATAAGTAGATTAAAATTAGAAGGATATGCACTCAACTCTGATATGGTTTATATTACATAAAGTGCTGCTAGAATTATGAGAGCATTATATGAAATATGTTTATATAAAGAATGGGCTTAAAGTGCACTATAATGTCTACAATTATCTAAAATGATTGAAAAACGGATGTGGAATTGTATGACTCCTCTTAGATAATTTAAAGGATTACCAGATGATTTACTTAGACGAATTGAAAAAAAAGAAGGAATTACATGGGAACATCTTTATGCTATGTCATCATAATAATTAGGAGAATTAATTAGATATTAAAATTCAAGTATGACAAAATTAATACATAAATATATTCACAAATTTCCTAAAATTGAAATCTAAGCATATGCATAACCTATTACTAGATCATCTCTTCGAATTGATCTTATGTTGTCTTGTGATTTTTAATGGGATGAAAAAATACATGGAAGATAAGAACCTTTTCATATCTTTGTCTTAGATTCTGATGCTGAAAAAATTATGTATCATGAATTATTTCTAATGAAATAAAAAATATAAGAAATGTAATTTACTTTTACTGTCCCATTATATGAAATCATGCATCCAATCTATTATATTAAAGTTATATCAGATAAATGGATCTCTTGTGAAACTGAATAGCCTATACCTTTTAAAAATCTTCTATTACCAGAACCTTTCAATAGATGTACTGAATTACTTTAATTAACTTTATTATCTATTGATCAAATTAAACATTCTCAAATTGAAAATATATTAGCAAAAAAAATTATGAATAACAGATATTTTGATTCAATTTAAACTTAAGTATTTCAAAACTTGTATTAAACAAATGATAATATTTTTATAGGAGTATCAACATATCAAACCAAAAATATATTACCAATCTTGGCTATTTTATAAATGGTAAATCATTTTAAAGGTTATAAAGCTATTTATATATCATCTATTAATTGTGAAATTAAGTTTAATTAATTTGTTTAGCTATTTAATAAGACACTTTCCTTAAAAATTGGCAAGCTGACTGGACAATAATAAACAGACAACAAAATTCTTGAATAATGTGATATTATCATTTCAAATCCAGTAAATTGGGATATAATGAGTAGAAGATGGAGATCTAAAAAAGGATTTAAAGAAATTAGATTGCTAATAGCTGATGATTTACATACTCTAAATTAATCTGGAAGTGTATTAGAAGTTATTGTATCAAGAATGAGAATGGTATCAATGGAAATTCCATTCAGAATAGTTGGTTTATCATTGTCAGTTGCTGATTATAAAGAAATGAGTGAATGGTTAGGTGCCAAATACTCATACAATTTTTCTCCAATTATCAAACCAAATAATATTCAAATTTAGATTAGTTCATTTGATTAATGTTAAAGACCATTGAGGATATAAGCTATGATCAATGCAATGAAAACTAATTTATCTAATTCAGAATTAAATATAATATATGTTTCTGATAGAAAATTAGCTAGAGTTTGTGCCTTAGAACTTATGATTAATAATAATTATTAATTATCTGGTTATTAAATAAAAGAAGATTAATATCTTTAACATACATTACAATCATCTGTAGGATTTTTATATGAATGTATGAATCCATAAGATGAAAATGAAGTATTAAAGTTTATACATTCTAATCAATTAAGAATAGTTGCAATACCATATAAATAAGCCTTGCATTATAATTTAAAAGGTTAAGTCTTTATTTTAGATAATTAAAAATATGATGGAATCGAAAAAAGATACATAGATTATACAATTGCAGAGATGTTGGAAATGATAGAAAGTACAACATCTTAATGTCATATTCTTACCTATACTCCTAAAAAGGAATATTATAAGAAATTCTTATATGAACCAATGCCAATTGAATCACATTTGAATCATCATTTAGCAAATCATTTGAATGCTGAAATAGTTGCAAAAAATATTCATAATACTTAAGATTGTATTGATTGGATTACTTGGACATTTATGTATAGAAGATTAACATAAAATCCTAATTATTATAATCTTCATGAAGTGAATGGTGTTGCGATAAATAATTATCTTAGTGAACTTATAGAAACTACAATTGATGAATTACATGAAAGTAAATGTATTGCAGTTGAAGAAGATAATGAATTAGAAGCAATCAATTCAGGAATTATAGCTAATTATTATTACATCAATATAGAAACTGTTAAAAATTATTCAGATAAAATTAATTCAAATTCTAAATTAAGAGAACTTTTATTTATTTTATCTGAAGCCAAAGAATTTGAAGTCCTTAATATTCGTAATGGAGAAGAAAACTTACTTGCCTAATTACTTTAGAAAATCCCTTATTAACCAACTAATCCTAAATTGAATGAACCAAATACAAAAGCATTGATCTTATTATAAGCTCATTTTTCTAGAATTAAATTAAATTCTGATCTTAAATCAGATCTTACTATTTTAGAAATAGCTATTAGATTGAGTACTGCTATGGTTGATATAGCATCATCTAATTTATGGCTTAAACCTGCTATTCTATCTATGTAAATTTGTTAAATGATTGTCCAAAGTCTCTGGGTTGATTAAGACAGTGTTCTCTTATAATTACCTTACTTTACCTAACAAACTATTTAAAATCTCAAAGACTACAATATTGAAGATTGGGCAGATTTTTTTGATATGCAAGAGTCTGATAGAACTTAAATTCTATAGAACTTTACATCAAATTAGATCGAAGATATAGCTTAAGCTGGAAATAGGTATTTATAATAATTATTATTAAAGAATACCATCTATTGAAATTACTGATATCATATCAGAACCTGAAGTTGTTTAAGGGGATATTTACCATGTCTAAGTCATTCTATCAAGATAAGATAATATATACACTGATTATGTTATTGCTCCAAATTATCCTAAACCTAAAGAAGAATAATGGTGGGTTTTGTGCGCTGATAGAACCTCGAATCGATTATTTGGTAATAAGAAGATCTCTTTTTCATCAAATATCAGAGTTGACCTGAGATTTTAAGCCCCAGAAGCAGGTGAATATGAACTAACCATTTATGCTATTTGTGACTCCTATATTGGGGTAGATACTACATCTCAATTTCAATTAAAAGTTAATCCTATTATAGAATAAGAATAAGAATAATGAGTTTATTAACTAAATTTTAAATTATTTATTTATTTTTATTTAATAGATTTATTTATACACACAATGATAATATGGACTTATAGCTTCTTACAATTAATTTTATAATCTATTTATTTATGAGAAAATTACAACTTTTCAGAAAATGTGGCAAATAATTTATCACAATAATTTTCATCCTTTGAATATATTAAATGATAATGAGACACTAATTAAATTCATTCAAATCTTAAATATTAATGTTAAGTATTTTCTTAAGTTAAGACTTATTATAAAATATTATTATTCACTTTTATATACCATGATCATTATTTATTTAATAAACTAAATCAATCGTTACATTATATTACAATTATTGTAAATACGTTCATCCACATGATGATTGATTATAAATAATGATCACGGCTACAAAAATTACGTAATACAAATTTTCTAGATATAGGAGTTGAAATATTGATTTCTTCTTTTTATGAAATAATATTCCTATTTTGTAAATAGTTGGTCTAATAATTATTTTGTAATTTTGAATGCTTTATTTCTTTTTATAATTTGAAAATTTATTTATTAGTTTGCTTATGATTAATTGTTTTATTAAAAATAGTGAGGTTTTGATATGTGTTCTTTAAAACTAAAAAAAATCAGTTAATTAATAATAAAATGAATCTTTTATTAGTTTATACAAATTTTACTCCTTCAGTTTGTAATGAAGATTAAATTTATATTTTAAAACTAGATTGTTAAAGTATTAAGTTTAAGTGATTCGTAATTAATAATATTAATATCTATAACTATTAATTTTGAAAGAGTAATTATCAAATGTTGAAGGTTTATTTGAAATTGAACATTTTTTAGAAATTTAAACAACCACATTTTAATTTTTAGAATTAAAATCATATAGGTAGTAAATAAATATATTAGAAACGAAATCCTTTCGTTTGCAATTTTTGAAAGTTGTCTTGATTTAATGTATATAATTTCTCTTAAATCAAGGTTATTTGGTTTATAATATATTAATTTTTGATTTTTTTATATTTTAGATATGAAGAAATATATATAACTGGTATGTATCAGATATTAATGTTATTAGCCAACCATTAAAATTTAAGCTTATTGATCTAAATTATATATATAAATTGAAATTCTTTGTTTTCATTTGGTCTGAAATGCAAATTTGAGAGTATTTATGATATTTGGAGCATATTTTAAAAATAAAAAAGATTTAAAATGGGAAATGCTTGTTAAAATTGTCATTAAAATGACACATAAGTATTTACTTAAGAGTAAGGAAGTTTTATAAAAGAAGAAAGCATAAAAGTGATTCAAAGTATGAGTCCAATTATTAAAAAACATGAATATTAATTAGAAAATCTGAATGAAGGTATTGGAGTNTACACACAATGATAATATGGACTTATAGCTTCTTACAATTAATTTTATAATCTATTTATTTATGAGAAAATTACAACTTTTCAGAAAATGTGGCAAATAATTTATCACAATAATTTTCATCCTTTGAATATATTAAATGATAATGAGACACTAATTAAATTCATTCAAATCTTAAATATTAATGTTAAGTATTTTCTTAAGTTAAGACTTATTATAAAATATTATTATTCACTTTTATATACCATGATCATTATTTATTTAATAAACTAAATCAATCGTTACATTATATTACAATTATTGTAAATACGTTCATCCACATGATGATTGATTATAAATAATGATCACGGCTACAAAAATTACGTAATACAAATTTTCTAGATATAGGAGTTGAAATATTGATTTCTTCTTTTTATGAAATAATATTCCTATTTTGTAAATAGTTGGTCTAATAATTATTTTGTAATTTTGAATGCTTTATTTCTTTTTATAATTTGAAAATTTATTTATTAGTTTGCTTATGATTAATTGTTTTATTAAAAATAGTGAGGTTTTGATATGTGTTCTTTAAAACTAAAAAAAATCAGTTAATTAATAATAAAATGAATCTTTTATTAGTTTATACAAATTTTACTCCTTCAGTTTGTAATGAAGATTAAATTTATATTTTAAAACTAGATTGTTAAAGTATTAAGTTTAAGTGATTCGTAATTAATAATATTAATATCTATAACTATTAATTTTGAAAGAGTAATTATCAAATGTTGAAGGTTTATTTGAAATTGAACATTTTTTAGAAATTTAAACAACCACATTTTAATTTTTAGAATTAAAATCATATAGGTAGTAAATAAATATATTAGAAACGAAATCCTTTCGTTTGCAATTTTTGAAAGTTGTCTTGATTTAATGTATATAATTTCTCTTAAATCAAGGTTATTTGGTTTATAATATATTAATTTTTGATTTTTTTATATTTTAGATATGAAGAAATATATATAACTGGTATGTATCAGATATTAATGTTATTAGCCAACCATTAAAATTTAAGCTTATTGATCTAAATTATATATATAAATTGAAATTCTTTGTTTTCATTTGGTCTGAAATGCAAATTTGAGAGTATTTATGATATTTGGAGCATATTTTAAAAATAAAAAAGATTTAAAATGGGAAATGCTTGTTAAAATTGTCATTAAAATGACACATAAGTATTTACTTAAGAGTAAGGAAGTTTTATAAAAGAAGAAAGCATAAAAGTGATTCAAAGTATGAGTCCAATTATTAAAAAACATGAATATTAATTAGAAAATCTGAATGAAGGTATTGGAGTAAGCACTATTACTTCATTTATCATTAAACCAAAAAATTAGACTTAAATTCTAGAGATTTTAAGGGGAATAAAAAACATTGACACAGAAATCAGATATTATAATCAATTAGATTAGGGATCTGGCAGTCCTTCTTCAAAAAATGACTCTCAAAACTTAAAGGGTAAATGTAATAGTGAAAGGCATGTTCACTTTTAAATTCCCTAAATGCAGATAATAAAACATGAATCTAAAATTGTTCAGAAAAAGCTTAAGAAATGAAGAATTAAGTTTGAAATATAAAAATTTAATTGATATAAAGATAATTAAATACAAAATTTAATATAATGTCTGCATTCTCAAATCAAAATGCACTTTAATGTTTTTGTTTTTTGAAATGTCTAATTATAAGTTCAAGATATTTGGATTTTTTATAATTACATTGAAATAAATAGATTGATTACTTCATAAAGTTTTAGATTAATGTGAAATGAATTAAAATATTGATTAAATATGTTCATACATTCAAAAGGTAAAATTTCAATTGTAAACACTTTTTATAATATTTTTATTTCTAAAATTTCATTTGACAAATTTAAGGCTAAAAATTCTAATCAAAAATTTCATGAGAAAAAAAACCAATATTCATACAAATATTTTTTAAGAATAGCTTTTTATCATTTTAAAATCTTTTTCAACATTTTTCTCTTTTAATATATTCAGCCGCCTTAAAAAGTAGTTTGTATTGATTTGATTAGTTTGATAAATTGATTTTTTAATTCAATTCTAATTAATTTGGCTATAAAATTTATTTAAAATATATGAATCATCTAAGTAAAAGAAAAATCACAAAACTTTTTAATATAACATTTAAAAAAAATCAAAAACTCTAACCAATAATACTAAATCGATCACTTGAGAACTTTCATCATAATGAATAGAATGAAAATTCAACCTATTATTTGAAATTATTGGATATTTTAAGAAATTAGCCAAACCAGTGAATATGGTTTTCATAAAGCTTAATTTTATTTGATCAAGTTTATTTGAAATTGTAATAATATTTGTTTAGTTCTATCTTTAATAAGTTTATCTAATATCAGGCTTAAGGCTACTCAATTACTTTCAAATTTAATCGATTGCAACTACAACTTTTGTTTTCTTTCAGTTATTGAAAAAATTAATTAAAATTAACAACATAAAGATATTTATTTATANGAATAAAAAACATTGACACAGAAATCAGATATTATAATCAATTAGATTAGGGATCTGGCAGTCCTTCTTCAAAAAATGACTCTCAAAACTTAAAGGGTAAATGTAATAGTGAAAGGCATGTTCACTTTTAAATTCCCTAAATGCAGATAATAAAACATGAATCTAAAATTGTTCAGAAAAAGCTTAAGAAATGAAGAATTAAGTTTGAAATATAAAAATTTAATTGATATAAAGATAATTAAATACAAAATTTAATATAATGTCTGCATTCTCAAATCAAAATGCACTTTAATGTTTTTGTTTTTTGAAATGTCTAATTATAAGTTCAAGATATTTGGATTTTTTATAATTACATTGAAATAAATAGATTGATTACTTCATAAAGTTTTAGATTAATGTGAAATGAATTAAAATATTGATTAAATATGTTCATACATTCAAAAGGTAAAATTTCAATTGTAAACACTTTTTATAATATTTTTATTTCTAAAATTTCATTTGACAAATTTAAGGCTAAAAATTCTAATCAAAAATTTCATGAGAAAAAAAACCAATATTCATACAAATATTTTTTAAGAATAGCTTTTTATCATTTTAAAATCTTTTTCAACATTTTTCTCTTTTAATATATTCAGCCGCCTTAAAAAGTAGTTTGTATTGATTTGATTAGTTTGATAAATTGATTTTTTAATTCAATTCTAATTAATTTGGCTATAAAATTTATTTAAAATATATGAATCATCTAAGTAAAAGAAAAATCACAAAACTTTTTAATATAACATTTAAAAAAAATCAAAAACTCTAACCAATAATACTAAATCGATCACTTGAGAACTTTCATCATAATGAATAGAATGAAAATTCAACCTATTATTTGAAATTATTGGATATTTTAAGAAATTAGCCAAACCAGTGAATATGGTTTTCATAAAGCTTAATTTTATTTGATCAAGTTTATTTGAAATTGTAATAATATTTGTTTAGTTCTATCTTTAATAAGTTTATCTAATATCAGGCTTAAGGCTACTCAATTACTTTCAAATTTAATCGATTGCAACTACAACTTTTGTTTTCTTTCAGTTATTGAAAAAATTAATTAAAATTAACAACATAAAGATATTTATTTATAAAAACATTAAAGAAATTCAAACATAAATTTATCTTAACTATTTCTGATAATGATATGAACAAAAAAATATTGTTATTTCTCTTGATATTTAAAATAAAAATGAAAAATTAAATTTTTGTTGTTTTAGGATAATTTAATGAAAAAACTTCAGTTTCTAAATAATAGTCACATCTAAAAATTTACGTATAATTGAAAAGGAAAAATGAGATATTATTTCTGAATGGGATTTTAAATTTAAATTTTTTATATAAATGTTGCTATATAAGTTCTTGAAAATTTATTTTTTTCCTAAATTTAAATATCAAATCTGTTAAATAAATTCTTTCATTTAAATTAAGACTTTTCTTTTGAAAATATTAAATGCCTTCAATCTATAATAATTATCGTATTTGCTTTTTACTACCATTTGTAAATTGTATCTACTTATTTGCAACAGTATTAAAACTTCCTTTCTTTTATCTTGGGATAGTTTTGTAAAACAAGTATTTTTCCAGAAACTTTGAGAATTATATCTATCAAGGTTTCCAATCTTAAATATCTATTTTTTGGACGTATTTTTTTTAATCGTCTAATTGATGGAATTGAAAATCAAAGAAAAAAAAACATAATCTAGAACTCTTACATTGAATTTTATTTTCTTCGTCTTTTGAGGTTTGAAACTTTATTTTTTTATCCACTTTTTTGATTTTTTTTCAAAAGCACGGAATTTTAGAATTAAAAATAAATTATACTAAATAGTATTTATTTTTATTATTTAAACTCTATATCATCTAAACAATATTAAAAATAACTGAAAACTATTTGCTTTAAAATTGATAAAATCAATTTACCTTAGTTGATAATTATTTGAATCATTTCAGAAAAATAAATATTTCTTCTTATTTTTCATATTAAATTTAAATATATTACGTTAAAACTTTAATAATTAATTTTGTTTGAAAATATTTATCTCTTTAAGAAGAGAAAAGGCCCAAATTTAAGATTCCAGATGAATTGCCAGAAAAATATAGCCAAAATCAATAAATGAGCTTTTAAATGAAGAGAACTTTAGCAAAATATTTTGATTAAAATATCAAGATTTAATCATAAATTAGCAAATTGATTAAGCTTTGCAAAATACCTAGGCACTTCTCAAAGAATTTCTCTTATCCAATCCGTTAAAGTTATTTTTGATGTTTTTGTCTGTTAATATCAATTTAATTTATCGAATAAATAATATTTTTTCCAATGTATAATTAATTATTAATGGCGTCAATAATCGAAATTATAAAGTATTTAAGAATATTAAACATTATATTGATGAGTTATTAATAAATTATATTTGATCAATAATCATATTAGATATACAATTTATTTTTTTTCATCTAATTGTACTTTTTCTTATTCATGCAAATCGAGTAAACATTTCAAAAGTTATTTATAATTGATAATATTTTAAGAATGTTAACTTTTCAATAATCTCCAAATTTTATCTATATCAAATGTGTCGAGGCGAACCTAATAATTGCATTATTAAATACCTTGTCATAATAATCTCGTAATATTTTATGAACTTACTTTAATTAATTTTGATTAGTTAACTCAAAATGGGCTTATTCTAAGCTTAAGTAAAATTTATCATTTATTGAATTCTAATCGATAACAATGATATCTTCATTATCACTAGAAATATTATTGTCTTATTTGAATGATTCTTAAGTAACAACTTCTGACTTCATATCTTAATAATCTCGAAAATTCTCATAATTAATCATCGTATCATGTAATCTGCTTTATCTAATTTATGATGATATTTTTTGCATTTAAAATTTTCCAATTACGGACTCTGGTAATTTAGATTTTTTAGGCTTCTTTTTTTTTTTTTTTTCTATTTATGTATTACAAATATTTTATTCTTATGGAATAAGCATAACTTTTTCTTAAACCTATTTAATAGACTTTTTATTTTTCTATTTTTCTGATTCAATATTATAAATATAAATATGACCAATATTGCTATTTATTTCTTAATTTGATTATATTTCTGAATTATACTTTTTATTAATTTCTTGATAAATATTAACATCTTCTAATTGATTTTGATTCTTGAGATCATCCTTTTTTATTTTATGAAATATTTATCCCAAATTCTGTTCAAAATAACTTTAACAAAATAAATCCTCCATTTCCTTATCATTTATATTTAAGACATTTGGCTCAGGAATTGATAAATCTTAATTTTCAATAAGGTAATCTTCCTACCATTGGATTGTCGTTGATTTTAGACGAATTTTAGCTTATTTAGGAAAATATTGATGCTTAGGCCATTCTTGACTTAATCTTAAGTCGGATCTGAGTTTAAGAGCTATCATACTTAAAAGAAAATCATTATCCTCTCCTTTAATCATAAACTAATCGTTTTCATCCTATTAAGTGTTTTATTCCTAATCTATTTTTTCTTTTTTTTAATTTGAATCTTCCCTGCCTTCAGATAATTATAATTATACATTTTTACTCTGATTCTATAAACTATCAATTTTTTATTGCTCTACTTCAGTTATGTTTGTAAGATTCTCTTTACAATCTTTAGATTTTTTATCAAAATTTCTTTATAATCTTTTTGAATCAAGCAGATTTCTTATTGCTCTTTTTTATTTTTTATCTTGCACTTTTAATTAGATTCTTTTTGAACCTGTATTTTTTTTCATTTCTTCATATTAACTAAAAAAACAAGATGAATTATGATGTATCATTTAAAGTTAGCTGTCACATTCAAATTAGCAGTAATTGCATCTGTAGCCAGTATCTTTCTATTTCTTAACAGAACTTAAAGACTTTAAAAAATTCATTTAATATTTTTTAAAGCCTTTCAAAATTTTGGTTTAATTTAGTAATTCTTGTACTATAAATATTAAAATATAATAATTTATAAAAATTTATAAAATTTTATAAAAATCATCTTTTCAATTATTCTTCTAACTCATAATTATATGTGCATTTCATTATAAACCCATCCTAACTTTTCTATAGCAAATAAATGACAAATTAGAATGACAATTGAATTTTACAGTTTTCTGATTCTAATTTTAAATCATAATTATGAGTATCTAAAAATTATAATTAAGAATATGTGATTAGAAAAGATTATCTTATTGAAATCGATAATTATCAAAAATATAATGTTTTTTATAATAATAATTAATCTACTTTTCAAAGTATAATTATATCTTTAAATAGGACTTCAATAATTATGTATAAGTATAAAAGTATCAACAATTTTAGATGATTAATTGAATAATTAATTTTTGAAAATTTTATGATGATAATTTTATTCAATTTAATTATATGGATTTTAATTTCTCATTAATATAATCATTTTCTTAAGATCCCTCTAGTAATGCATCTTCATAAACAGTAATTGCTTCTTTGTATTTTTTTAATTCTAGTAATGAATCAGCTAAATGATAAAATTGATTTAATTACCTTTTTATATAAGATATGAAGGATCTTAAGAAATGAATAAAGCAATATCTAATTAGATTACTGCTTCTTTATATCTTTTTAGGCAATGTAAAGCTTATCCTATTATATATTTAGAATTCGAAATATACCTTTTAATGCATATGCTTTATGTTAAGTGTTATCAAGGAGAATAACACTGTTCAATGAAGCTATAGCATCTTCAAAATGATGCTATTTGATTTAACTGATGGCTAAAAATAAGTAAAAATTTAACCTTTTATAAGATAAGATCCGAAACGTGAAGGATCAATCTTTATAGCTAGATTTGAAATTTTTATAGCTTCTTCATGCTGATCCATAAAGTTTAAACATTATGCTAAATTATATTTTATTTTTAACCCTTATTTTTATGTGCAATCCAATTATTAGGATCGATTTCTATGATTTTATCAAAATATTTAATAGCCTACTAGTAATCTTTTAATTTAATTAGTTTATCACCTTATTAAAGATGAGAACTAATTTCTGAATTATCGATTTTCTTGGATTTTGTTGAATCATTTTATAACTATATTTCGGAATTCTTTTTATATTTACATATACTAGTTTTTATTCATTTTATTAATTCTCAAAGAATTATATCAAGAAATTATTTAGAAAACTCTCGAATTAGTTTATTTATGATTATTAATAAGGATTTAGTAAAATTTATTCTTTTTTTTTATCTTTTATTTGAATTATTTAATACCTTCAATTGCTTATTAATCATCTAGTGGAATAGATTTTATCTTTTAAAAATATGTAATAATTTGCTCAGGACGAATCTCATTTAAATTTAATCATAACATTTTACCTTATTCTTAATTTTCTCCAAATATTGATAAAACTGTTCTCTTCATTTCATTCATTTCCTATGATGAAATTTGGTTTTTGTTTTATTGACCATTCATTTTATTATTTTAAAAAAGTAATGAAAGAGTTCCTTAAGAATTTATCAAAAATCCTTTAATAATATTTTCCATAGCTTATTAATATTATTTTAATAGTAATAATGCTTCCCCTGTTAATAATATTAATTTTATTACCTTTTTTTAAATAAAATTAAAAACATTAAGAGTTTTAAGATATGATTTGATCACAAATTTCGATAACACTCTCAAATTCTTTCTTTTACATTAAAATTTATACTATTAATATCATAAATTTAATACTTTTCCAATTCAGAGCCTCTGAACAAGTTGGTTCAATTTTCAGAACTTATTCAAATATTTCTAATGATTATTGATAATCATTTGTAATAAATAAGTCGATTCCTAATTTTAAAATGTTAAACACTTACCTTATTGAATCATTACATCAACTATATCTTAATTTTAAAATGCTATTTGATTTAAATTCTGATTGATAGCAACTTTTAGATTTGGATTTTGTAATATCATTTACTCTAATTTCTATAAAGAATCCATTATNTGAAATTTTTATAGCTTCTTCATGCTGATCCATAAAGTTTAAACATTATGCTAAATTATATTTTATTTTTAACCCTTATTTTTATGTGCAATCCAATTATTAGGATCGATTTCTATGATTTTATCAAAATATTTAATAGCCTACTAGTAATCTTTTAATTTAATTAGTTTATCACCTTATTAAAGATGAGAACTAATTTCTGAATTATCGATTTTCTTGGATTTTGTTGAATCATTTTATAACTATATTTCGGAATTCTTTTTATATTTACATATACTAGTTTTTATTCATTTTATTAATTCTCAAAGAATTATATCAAGAAATTATTTAGAAAACTCTCGAATTAGTTTATTTATGATTATTAATAAGGATTTAGTAAAATTTATTCTTTTTTTTTATCTTTTATTTGAATTATTTAATACCTTCAATTGCTTATTAATCATCTAGTGGAATAGATTTTATCTTTTAAAAATATGTAATAATTTGCTCAGGACGAATCTCATTTAAATTTAATCATAACATTTTACCTTATTCTTAATTTTCTCCAAATATTGATAAAACTGTTCTCTTCATTTCATTCATTTCCTATGATGAAATTTGGTTTTTGTTTTATTGACCATTCATTTTATTATTTTAAAAAAGTAATGAAAGAGTTCCTTAAGAATTTATCAAAAATCCTTTAATAATATTTTCCATAGCTTATTAATATTATTTTAATAGTAATAATGCTTCCCCTGTTAATAATATTAATTTTATTACCTTTTTTTAAATAAAATTAAAAACATTAAGAGTTTTAAGATATGATTTGATCACAAATTTCGATAACACTCTCAAATTCTTTCTTTTACATTAAAATTTATACTATTAATATCATAAATTTAATACTTTTCCAATTCAGAGCCTCTGAACAAGTTGGTTCAATTTTCAGAACTTATTCAAATATTTCTAATGATTATTGATAATCATTTGTAATAAATAAGTCGATTCCTAATTTTAAAATGTTAAACACTTACCTTATTGAATCATTACATCAACTATATCTTAATTTTAAAATGCTATTTGATTTAAATTCTGATTGATAGCAACTTTTAGATTTGGATTTTGTAATATCATTTACTCTAATTTCTATAAAGAATCCATTATAGAATTTAAATTGCTCATAAATTATGCTTTTTTTTATTAAAATAATGTTTTACATTCCATCTCCTTTTCAATTATATTATTTTAATGTTTAAGGAAATCTATATCTATTTCCTTATGAAGGTTTGGCCCTTCTTTCATATGCTAATCAATTTATTTTAAACTTTTGATTTAATCTTCTATTTTTTAAATGATATTTGTGATAAACTCATCAAATTTAGCCTTAAATTCTTTTAGTTATAAAATAAACTATGAATGGACTTTTTAATTTTGATTAATCAATTTAGATAAATTTTTAAAAGTTTTACAATCATTTTAATGTTGGGAATGGAATTATTTTATACAATTATAACAAAAAGGAGAATTATTATTGCATGTTAAAGATAAGCATATTCCAATTATATCTTCTTAATGCTTTTGTCCTTTGCATTACTAATTTGATTCATTTTTCATTTTTTAATTATTAAAATTATTTGCTAACCATAATTATACAAAGTGTAATTAATGAACTTATCTTCAGATATCGATATAGAATTAAAAAAAAGTGCAAATTATCTAATTTCTAGTTTCTTGTTTAGTTTAGTCTGGTAGATTAACCGAAGCCTTAAAAGAGGTAGATATTGCAATATTGAAAAATAAAAATGAATTAGAACTTTATAAAACTAAAAGTATTTATTATAATTAAATCAATCTTTAGCAAGAATTTTAGATTCTTTGGGCCATTTTAATGAAATCATAGATACTTGGGAAGAAGGAATATAAAATAATAAAAATGAATTTCTCTTTTATTAAGAGAAAGGTAAATTAATTAGAACATATTTAATTAGTTTATGCATTAAAGAGTTAAAATAAGCTAGAAGAAATAATTTAATGTTATGATTATGGAATAATGAACAATAAGAATGACCCTTTATTTTATACTTATAAAAGTAAATATTCTAATTATAATATTTTAGATAGTGAGCTAGAACGATAAAATAAAAAAGAAGAAGTAATAAAAGTATGGGAGTTAGGAATTGATAATAATAAAACAGACCCTTATTATTATAAAAGAAAAGGTAATTAAAGTTTTGTTATTTAATAGTATAGGCATTAATTGATTTGTTTGGAGCAGAAAATAGTTGGGAAAAGATTGTTTAATGTTGGGATCAAGCAATTTAAAATGGAAATGATGCTGTGTTTTATTTTAAATCTAAAGGTAATTTTGTAATCAAATTTATAGCTAGTGCTTTAGAATAATTAGAAAGATGGGATGAAGTTATTTAATGTTTAAATTAAGGTATAAATTAACATAAACATGTTTAATTTTTGTATGATGATAAAGGTATTCAAAATTTTATTATTTTAGCAAACTATTTAAAAAAATTGAATAGATTAGAAGCAATTATTGAGTGTTGGGATGATGGAATTAAAAATAATCCACATAATAGATATTTTTATGGAAAAAAAAGTATATTTTATTATAAAAGTTTTAGTTAAAGCATTAGAAGATTAAGAAAAAATTGAATAAATTATTAAAGAATCCAGTATTTATATCAAATAATTTAATGATATAATATTTTATGAAGCTAAAGGTAATCATTTAAATAATACTAAAAGCTAAATGTTTGTAAATTTAAGGAATGAAAGAAGAAGTAATCTAATGTTGGGATGAAGGAATTGAATAGAATTAATATTAAATATCATTTTACCTAAAAAAAAGTATTTTATTCAAATAAATTTAGTTGAAGCACTAAAGAATTAGTAAAGATGGATAGATTCAATTTAATGTTGTGATTAAGTTCTTTCGAAAAAAATTTTGGAAAGTCAAGAAATATATTCAAATAAAGGTTTTCTAAAATATAATTTGTAGAGCATTCATTAGAATAATTAAAGTAGTTTAGGTAAGCTATCTAGTATTCAAGATTGATTCAATCAGATTAGAATCTAAAATTCTGGTTTTGATTATATTATTCTATTAAATTTCAATAACTTAATATAATTTGATATTATCCTAAATACAATTCTAAAAAAATAATTTTGAATTAGCTATTTAATGAGGATAATGGGGTGGTTTTAATTCTAGAATACTCTTTTATTAATACTAATTAAAAAAAAATAATTAGCTTTTTAAATTTGTATTATTTTAAATTAAAAATGTAATAATTAGTCTGATGTGAGGCTATAAAATTTGGAAATATTAAATATATACAAATAATAAAAAATTGATAAAAAATTAAGAACAATTAAGATGCAAAAAAAACAAGATTAATCTGAATTATTTTAAGTCTTATGCATTGCTTTCAAAAAGAATAAAAATGATCACTTAAAATTTTTATCTAGTTGAAGGAAAATACAGGATTTCACAAGGGAAGTTTAAAGGAAAACTAATGAAAATGTAGAATTCGTGTTTTTGGGCATAGCCTTAATGATGACAGTAATGATATAATTAGATTAAAATTTTGAAATACAATATGATCTTGTTTGAATCAAATTAATTGTTATTCATTTTTTAGTTGGTTCATCATTATAAAGAATTTTGAATATTAAAGTATGACTTAAATTGCCTCTTTGTTAAACATAAAATATCCCTTCTTTTTCTCAAAGAAATCTACCATTTACCCATCTCTCTTATCCTTTTTGATTCCCCTTAATTATATCTGCTGTTTCAGGGTGTGGTTATTTAAAAAGAAAGTTTTTCAAACTCTATACCTGAGAATGTTTTCTCATTAAAATTTTGAAAATACATATTTGATTTGAAAAAATTTCAATCTTAACTTACTCGGTAACATAAATTGGACATTTCTTTGTTTTTTTCAATATTTTGATGTTGTAAAAAGCAGAGCTACAATATTATTTGGCGAATAATTTCTATATAACTTACCCAAATTTGCCAACTCTTTTTTTTTTTAAAATAATTGAATTGTTGATGAAAATTAAATTTTGCCCACAAAGCTTTTCAATTTGATATAAATAGATGATAACTTAGGGATTGAGTTTTATAAAATAAAATGAATAAATAGTGAGTGATACATTCCCTTAAAATAAGTTGTAAAATTGAATTCTAAAGAAAATTCTATATAAAATCTAAAATTTATTTTTGGATTTGATTATCTTATATTAGATTGCCTTTGTTCTCATAACAATAATTACTTCTAGAATTAAATTCTACGCATTACTTTTGATTATAATTAAAATTAATAGTTACATATAATAGCCAAAATGTAAGTATGTTTGAATTAAAACTAATATTTTGGAAGTAACCTCATTAGTATTAAAAAAAACATATTTTAAATTATGATAATTAATTTTTAACTGTGTAAATTCTTATTAAAAAAAATGCCAGCTATATTATAGTAGATATCCCTAAGTGCGCTTTTTTTTATACCTAATTTATTATAATATTATTTATTGGGTTTTCTTAAATTTACTCCATTAAATTTTATATACATTACAAATCATGTGGATAACTTTATTCAAGCAAGAACAATCAATGTTGATTTTTTGGCTTAAAAAAATATATATGTCTTCCAATATCATTAAATATATTTTTTTTTTCTAAATGGTTTTTGATTTTCTAATTTTCAAACAGAAAATATTTTGAGTTTCTAAAGCTCAAAAGCACATCCAACAATGGCAAATTCATTTAAATGAAACGTAATCAGAGAATTTGATATTAAAAAAAAGGTAAAATTTAGGAATATAGAAATTAATTCAAGAAATATTATTTATTAATGCGCTAATTTTATATTTAGAAATGATTTTAAAATAAGTTTAATGATTAAATTTGCATAAAAAATAAAAAATTTTAAATAAAATGATTATTTCTAAAATTATTTTAAATTTAAATTACCTATTACTGAATTTTTTTATCTACAAATCTAATGAATTATAAAATAAAATAAATATACATAAAGATCAAGCATATATTATAATATAATATATCTTCATAAAGCACTAATATAAATATCTACTTAATTTGTATCACCAGAAGGGAATGTTTAAGTAAAA